CCTCGAAAATTCATGCAGAGATCAAAGGTTTTTTCAAGACCTGGGCCCACTTGCACAAAGCGATCTTAGCGCTAAGACTATCGTAAGCCTTTGTTAAAGTATGGGAGTTACGATCATCTTAGCGCTAAGACTATCGTAAGCCTTTGTTAAAGTATGGGAGTTACGATCATCTTAGCGCTAAGATCGCTTTGTGCAAGTGGGCCCTGGTTTTCACCATATTGCTGTCAGTTTTCTCCACAGTAAAAAAGAAATTTGCATATCCTTGAGACATTGGGTAAAGGTGAAGTAAAGTCAACATAGCAACTTTGCAGATTTTAATACTTAAGGGATACTAATCACGACAACTTGACTAAAATTAAATAAATAACGGAAATAGCCTAAAATAATTTATAAAAAGCGACAGGCGAAATTGTCCCCCAAAAGAAAACATCCGTCACTGAGGGGGTTCAAACGGGTGTTATTTTCCTCATCCATTTGATCACTGTGTCCACAAATTATGTCACCTTGGTAACAACACCGAATCTGCCATCGGTTGTTTACTCAGGGGATTAATCCCTGACAGCCATTTATTGTGTGGAATAGGGCCCCGGGTGATAGTAATTAAGCGCTAATTACCGATTGTGAATTGTTATTTTAATTATTCACAATGTCAAGATCAAGGGCCGTTTCACACATTCAACAATGTTTGTTTTGTTGTTTAACGCCACGCTCAGCGATATTCAGGGTACATGACGGTGGTGTGTAAATAATGGAGTCTGGACCACACAATCCACTGATTGACATCATGAGCATCGATCTACGCAATTGGGATCCGATGACATGCATCAACAAAGTCACCGAGTCTGACCACCCGATCCCGTTAGTCGCACAAATAGGTTTGTTTTGGGAGCCGATAATGGAGCGTGCAATTTCAGCACTTTTACTTGGACATTTAATTACTTTCAACGAATATTATGAATTTTTCTTCTCTCGAAAATAGACTAAATGTATCAAGACAAAAATTTATTCGCAATCATTTTTTTTCACTTTACTTGCCCTTTCAAGGGTAAAAAGGAATCTGAAATTAAAAAAAGAAATACACCAAAAAATTCACAAAGACATTTTTGACCGTCAAAGTATGGATGCCGAGAGGGGACATCGCTTTCTCGCTTTCTCGTTCTATCGCTTTATCGCTCTATCGCTCTATCGCTTTGTCGCTCTATCGCTTTGTCGCTTCCTCTAATGACTAACCATAGTCATATGAAGGAATCGGGTGTTCCTTAACTTCTTTTGAATAGTATGTACTGTAAATCTTGAAATTAACGTTAGGGTTAATTACAAATGCAAAAACATTAGCGTAGACTTAATTACCGGTAATAATACTTTGCATTTATGTCTCAGAAATGACTGTTGATAAGACGGCCTCACTGAACACTTTGAATAGCGGAAATGCCAACTTGAATATAAAACCAATCAACTATCTATTTCCACATTATGGTAACTGAGAACAATATGTCATCCCAAAACTAAAAATTACATAATGGACATCCGGTAGTATTACCATTGCTTGGTGAAGACTTCCACTTTGATGACATCTACTCCGCAAACAGAATAAACATTGATATAAGCGTTGTTTTTAGGAAAACACTATTGCTTTTTAGGAAGTACGTACTACTCAGCGCTATTGAGCGGTGTGATTTGCTATTTGTTTTGATAACTTGGCCTGGGGGCGGGGATCCAATAGCTAAATAGGGCCATAAATCAATCAAATTCTTTTTTACGCAGAAATACGTGGATTGTTATAAAAGCACATATGTCTGTACTGTTAAATTATATTTAAGTAGATAGTGAGAAAATTTCAAAAACCGTCCATATGTATAATTTGAAATGCGACTGGAAAAATCTACGCTCTCTTTTCTGATTAAAACCCTCGTCACACCCCAAAATTTTTAGGCATTCAGAGTATTTTACTAAATGAGACAAGTCGCTTGTCAACGTGATGCAATCTCACATTTTGACTTACTGTCACGTGGAGTTTTTACACCTCCTTCTCCACTGGCACATACATTTTTTCACGAACAATGTGAGAGTGGCGGGTACTACCAGGTGCATTTGCATTGTATTGTATTGTATTGTATTGTTAGTTTAACGCCGCACTCAGCAATATTCAATGGATCAATCAGATCGATTATGTACACACCACCGTCATATAGCTTGAATATTGCTGAGTGCGGCGTTAAACAACAAACAAACAAATCTGAAGGCTATACGACCAGGACTGGGACCAGCCTTCAACGTCACAAGCGACACAGAACATTCCGTCCCCTAACAGGTACAGTTCAGTATACACGCGTATCTATGTATGATGGGAACCGCAGTGATGGATTCTTGACACCACCGATCGGTTGTTTACCAAAATACGTCTTGAAAAAAGAATGACATATTGTTCCAGCCGACGACTTGCTGGTGTCACGTGACTGATGTGCACATTGCCGCGGCATTGGGTTTAACACCGCTTTTAACACTATTACAGTTATATCACGGCGTTTCAGCTTAATGTGGGAGGAAAGCCCGAAGTGATGCAGGTCTCAGACGTTTACCACTTCTGTGAAACCCCACGAGCACGGGTATGGTGCTTACAAACCTAGAAACATAATCGGGGCGAACCCACAATCGTAGGTTTCTGGTGTGCCCAATGGACGCGTATCGCGGCGCCTTAGACGACTGGGCCACCCGTGCCCTAGACTAACATCTAGTCTCTGAAATGAACATATCGTACAGAAAAAACAGTTGTTCAGTTATCTTATTAAAAATACAATAAAAGGGAGCCCAGTGACTCTCTTCATTTTCAGATACTGCAGTAATCTAGACTTGCCGAACATTATAGACTTGCATGGGCTGTATTTGATATATATTTGTATCAGGGTCTGTAAGACAGGCTACCCGTGCCCTTCTTTTGACGAGAAACATGTCTGACTGCATCATCTGGGCCAGAGCTAAACCTGTGGGTGAAGCAACTATATTTGTTTGAACGATAAATACCATGATGAGACTGATAATACCGTAGTCACTGGAGACATAGTCACGCTATGCAACACCGTCGTCTCGTTTCGCACACTTTCCCTGACGCACCTCGTGATGCGACATTTTTCTATCGCACAATATGCCGCCTTATCGCTCCAACTAAAATGTGTAAAATAGGTGTTAAAGATATACGACACCGCGATCCTTTTTGGATTCCATCGAATGACCTTGATTCGGTAAAACACTTGTCAGTAAAGGCCAAGTCATTAGGACCCGTGAAAATCCGGGGTAGAAGAGGTCTCCAGCAACCCATGCTTGCCGTAAAAGGCGACAGTGTTTGTCTTAAGAGGCGACTAACGGGATCGGGTGGCGAGGCTCTCTGATTGGTTGATGTATGTCACCGTATCCCAATTGCGTGGATGGATGCTCATGATGTTAACCACTGGATTGTATGGTCCAGACTTGATTATTTACAGATCGCCGTCATTTTTCTGACTGTGGCGTTAAACAAACAAACAAACAAAAGTGAGTGAACGTTAACACCACATTCAGCAAACCGAAGCCCTAGACACCACTATCTCGGGCATGCGTTGGTTGTGGAAGCGTGATCGACATTGCGAGCGAGTGACTGCGGGTTAACGTCGTTTTGAACATTATTTCTGTTACATCACATCATGTCGGCCTACATGTGCGAGACAAACCCGAAATATGGCAGACCACAGATGTTTTCATCTTTGAAATCCACGAATGTAGTATGCGGACATACATTTAATCACCATCAGGGCGAGGTCAACCCACTGTGCCAGATGCATCTACCCGAGGCAAGAGAGTTAACTGACTATTAAAGTCCAGTTTCCACCCTTGCCGAACTAGGCTGGTATTATGGAGTTACATTTTGGCTGGACTAACGAGTCTATGCATAGTCCAATCAAAATCGCGCAACGAAATCGAAATCGGGTTCGTAAACTTTCGTGCAGATTTCGGTCGATTGCAGGATTTGTGAAGCGTGTGCACCGCCAACTCGTTGTCGACAGATTTTTTCTGAATCTTTTCATGTTTTTGATCAAGGTGCTCACGTGAGTTGATGCACTTCGCGATGTAAGACCCGTTTTATCACAATTTAGCTCTGATTATCGATCAGATCGTCTTGTCTGGGCGCTGCCATTTTGTTTGAAACAAATGTTGGTGATACAAGAGGTGGAATCTGATCAGAGGCTTAGAAGGGACATAACTCCTAATAACCAATGGTGGCGCTACGATCGAGCCCAGGAATCCCAGCCAAGTTCGGCAAAGGTGGAAAATTGGACTTTAATAGTCAGTTAACTCTCTTGCCTCGGGAAGATGTGCCAGATGTGGCATTGCTACCACAAAGACGCACAGAGTAATCGGATTTAACAAGTTAATCCTGCGGGGATTCCGTGTTAAAATAAGTCCCCAGCAACCTATGCTTGTCGAGGCGACTAATGGATCAGGCGATCTGACTCGGTGACATAGGTGATAGCGTGTCACTTTATCCGAACTCGAGGGTCGTTGTTCACAAAATCAATCCCTGGTTTGTCTGGTCCAGACTTGATAAAATGACTTGCGAAATGCGGTATTAACAAGACACAACTCGGATATAAATTACGAGATATGTAGCTGTACGTCATCCACGTCACACGTACCCAAAGGTGGTTGGTTGGTTTGTTGCTTAACTCCGCACTCAGCAATTTTCCAGCTACATGACGGCGGTCACGACCAGACAATCCAGTGATTGACATCTTGAGCATCGATTCACGCAATTGGGATCGACGACATGCATCAACCAAGTCAGCGAGCCTGACCACCCAATCCCGTTAGTCGCCTTTTACGACAAAGATAGTCGCCTTTTACGGCAAGCATGGGTTGCTGAAGACCTATTCCCCTCCGGATCTTCGCGGGTCTACCCATAGGTGGATTCGAACTCGTTCTTGGTGTGACTAACTACAAGGCAACCAACACAACATTAAAACAAGGTGTAACATTTAACATTTTATTTATGACAATATAATATGGACATCGTCAACTTTCATATTTTTTCAAGAAATTCAAATTGAAATAAACGTAAGCAAGCATGAAGAATAATACTTTGTCTCCTTGCTTCAGGGGAGTACAGTACAGTGCATAAATGTGTTGCCACCATGGAGGGACCTAATACGGGTTGAGTTTTTTCAGCAGAGGTAACAGAAGGACTTAATGGCGGTTCACCCGTCGAAAACGAAATCATCTGACTAAGAAGGCGCGCTGAAAAACAACCCTGACTAAAGCACTCCCAGGACGTTTGAGGTCACACACAAGACACAACATTCATACAGTACTACATGGACATGCATCAAGACGAACTCATGTCAGGTTATTACGGGTAAATACAAAACCGCCTCATCTTCACATTGTTTATGATAGTCCAAGTCCACAAAAAATGTTCAAGGACTAAATTAATTCGAAGAGTATATAAGTGGCAAGAGTCGCCCTAAACCAGTATGTCCAGTTTACTTTTGTCAAGTGTAAACGATAGAAATGTCCATATGTAACAGTACTGAAGCCCCATGTCACAGCAAACGCAAATCATTAGACCTAAACCAAATCCTCACGTAATAAACAAGTCTATTCTGTTCTTTCGTTCCCCTACACATGCATGCAAGGTTACTGGCTTCACTACTAGCAGTTCTAGTCATGGACCTCCCTCCTCCCCATCTTAAGTAAAGGATCTCCCCCTAAGAAAATAATCCCCATCTCGTGTAAGGATCCCTGTTTCAAAGGATCTCCCCTAAAATAAAGGATCTCCCTCTCGAGTAAAGGATCCCAGTCACAAGTAAAGGATCTCCCGTATGGTGTTAAGGAACTTCCCCGAGAGTAAAGGATCCCCAGTCACAAGTAAAGGATCTCCCTTTTAATCAAGGATCTCCCCTCCCTGTCTCAATCCAAGGATCTCACCAAACCAATGCTTCCCCTTCAAGGACCCCCCCCCGCCTTAATGATCCCCTGTACGTCCTACTCCAGCTTCTTGAGCTCCTGGGCGCCAGGGAAGTACCAGTACGTCCCCTTGACGTTCGTGGTGACTTTCATGATGTCGTCACTGTGGCCGTCCCCACCGGCACCCACCATCCGGTCAAGCATGAACTCGAAGTTCTCGGGTGACGCTGCGTAGCCGATGAAGAAGAGGCCAGCCCCGCCGGCGTGGCTACCAAAGGGCATCGACTGACGAACGATCTCGAACTTCTTTGCCTGGTTGAAGGCGCTACCTGTAAAACATTCGTATACTTGCCAATAGTATGTTTAAGAAATACATGACCGGTGGTCGTTGTTTATCGTACAATAAAACACTGCATGGAGAATAAACCATGAGGGGCGCCTGCAGTATTCTATTGTTCGATAAACAACGACCACGAGTCGTTTATTTCTCATATGAGATATCAACATCATATACAGCCTTTTTAGGGTGATGATAAAATGTACAAGCTATAACAAATATTTTCCCGTATTTTAATAATGATGACTCCCTGAATAGAATCCGACCTCGGCAATGTCGGACAAGTCCATTTCATGAACAGATGGTTTTGGTAATGGTATTTCCCAGATATTCTAACAATCCTCACGTCGATTATCTGTACCTTTTCTCCCGATACCTATTGTCATATCCCTTCCACTTCTGTTCTTTGCGATTTATCTTATATTTGCCAATAATATACTTGCCGCCAGAGTCGCTTGATTTTCTCGTGAATGCATACGCAAACATTAAACGGATGACACGTTATACCTGGGTATGTTCAGTATCTAAAAGACGTTTGTTTGTTTGTTTGCTTGTTGTTTAACGCCGCACTTTGCAATATTCCAGCTAAATGACGGCGGTCTGTGTTAATAATCGAGTCTGTACCAGACAATCCAGTGATTGATATCATGAGCATCGATCAACGCAATTGGGATCGATGACATGCATTAACCAAGTCAGCGAGCCTGATCCCGTTAGTCGCCTCTTATGACAAGCATAGTCGCCTTTTACAGCAAGCATGGGTTGCTGAAGACCTATTCTACTCAAGATCTTCACGAGTCTATAAGATGTGACAGTAGTGTACAGTAGTTCCAGAGGGAAAGAAAATCTGGCGTGTGACCTTTCTTTCGGTGAGTTTAGTTTAACGTCTCTTTAAGCAGTATTTTAGTTACACCAGGATGTGTCAGCTTTATGTATAAGGAAAGCCGAAAGTGATGCAGGAGTAAGGCAGTACAGTGTTGAAACTTTCTCTTTGGCCGTATAAGCATTTATTTGTTTGTTTATTTCTCTCTTTCTTTGTTGTTTAATTTATTCCAGCTACATGAAAGCGGTCTGTAAATAATTGAGTCTGGACCAGACAATCCAGTAATTGACATCACGAGCATCGATACACGCAACTGGGATACGATGACATTCATCAACCAAGTCAGGGAGCCTGGCCACTTGATCGCGTTAGTCGCCTTTTACGGCAAGCATGGGTTGCTGAAGACCTATTCTACCCCGGATCTTCGCGGTCCCGTATAAGCATTGAAACAGCAACACACTACCCGTCTAACATGAAAATGGTTTGTCTTGGGAAACAATTTAGGAATGGTCATGTGAAGGGTCGCAAAATAGGACATATTTATGTTTCCTGATCAAACTCGCAGGAGACTATGCTTGTAGAGAATGAAGTCACAGCTCCATAACTCGAAACAGTGGATATCCTCCAGAATATTAGGTATCTGTTGTAGGCAGCGGCCACGACTCGGAATAAGACCGTCCCGATAAGACCGTCGATATAAGACGACTGTGTCGATACACGACTACAAGACCACTCTGTCCATAAGAATAAAACCCGGACTATAAATGAATCAATCTCCATGGAGACATTTATATGAATACATATCTAACGAAATCCCCGGCCCTTCTCCGCATATTCTCCGCCTGCAGCCTGGTTCCCTAGGTATGCTGCGCTGGCGCTACAATGTAGCGCTAGCGCAGCATACCCAGGAAACCAGGCTGGTTCGTCTGACCCACGGGAGGACGCATACCTCCAGTCATCCTGGCCACATGGGACGTGATCGACTTGCGGCTGAGTTCCGTGCTGTCGCCTTTCTGACGACCGACCCACCCTTCCAGCGTCTTGTCTGAAAACAAGAAGAATATTTTGAAACATTTTTTAAAAAGTTTTACTGTTCCCTTCAGCAGCAAAGCTGTGTACTTTAGGCAACAACAAATTAATTATTTCTTCAGTCAAAATCGTTGCATCGTTTTGAAAAAAGGGATTTTAACAGTTTCAAAGGGGGTGATTTTAAGATGAAATTTAATGTTTTCAAAAGGTTAGTTTTCGGATGATATAACCTAAATACTAATATTCCCAAGAAAGCGTAAAGCCGACCTATATGAATTATTAATGCATACTTTCAGTAATGAAGAGCAAAATATTACTTTGGGGATTCAATCGGACGAATCGCTATTCAAATATGTACCTATATACACCTGGAGGAATCGGGGTTCAAATATGTACATATACACCTGGAGGAATCGGGGTTCAAATATGTACCTATATACCTGGAGGAATCGGGGTTCAAATATGTACATATACACCTGGAGGAAACAGGGTTCAAATATGTACTTATATACCTGGAGGAATCGGGGTTCAAATATGTACCTATATACCTGGAGGTATATACACCTGGAGGAATCGGGGTTCAAATATGTACATACAGTGTATATACCTGGAGGAATCGGGGTTCAAATATGTACATATACACCTGGAGGAATCGGGGTTCAAATATGTACCTATATACTTGGAGGAATCGGGGTTCAAATATGTACATATACACCTAGGGGAATCGGGGTTCAAATATGTACCTATATACCTGGAGGAATCGGGGTTCAAATATGTACCTATATACCTAGAGGATTCGGGGTTCAAATATGTACATATACACCTGGAGGAATCGGGGTTCAAATATGTACATATACACCTGGAGGAATCGGGGTTCAAATATGTACCTATATACCTGGAGGAATCGGGGTTCAAATATGTATCTATATACCTGGAGGAATCGGGGTTCAAATATGTACATATACACCTGGAGGAATCGGGGTTCAAATATGTACATACAGTGTATATACCTTGGGGAATCGGGGTTCAAATATGTACATATACACCTGGAGGAATCGGGGTTCAAATATGTACCTATATACCTGAAGGAATCGGTGTTCAAATATGTACATATACACCTGGAGGAATCGGGGTTCAAATATGTACCTATATACCTGGAGGAATCGGGGTTCAAATATGTATCTATATACCTGGAGGAATCGGGGTTCAAATATGTACATATATACCTAGGGGAATCGGGGTTCAAATATGTACATATACACCTGGAGGAATCGGTGTTCAAATATGTACCTATATACCTTGAGGAATCGGTGTTCAAATATGTACCTATATACCTAGAGGATTCGGGGTTCAAATATGTACATATACACCTGGAGGAATCGGGGTTCAAATATGTACCTATATACTTGGAGGAATCGACTTGTTGGTTAGATAATTTTATTCACAGGGTTCCTTCTGAAATATATCGCGGCGAGTTTCCTACTTTTCATCACACAACACAAATGTATTCTTGATAGCAATGTCCCATGTCAACAAACAAGCATGCCATGGAAACTTATCGGCTACATAATAGGACTATTGTGAATGTCTGCCGTTAAAATACATGGGTTATCTGCCCTTACCCTTTTCGGTATGGATTACATCCAACTTATGGAGCCATTTCTGAGTTATCTGAAATGCAAGGAAAAAATCACAAGGTGAATCTTTGTTTTTAACACATTCATGTACATAAAACAGAAAACTAAATAGGCGAAAGAGTTAGTTCCCCTGTGGTTAGAGTGAGTGCGTGAGCGAGTAAGTGAGTGAGTGTGGTTTTACGCCTATTTTAGCAATGGGCTTCACACATAGTACCCAGGGGGGGGGGGGGGGGGGGGGGGGGGGGGGAGGCACGGGTGGCCCAGTCGTCTAAGGCGCCGCGATTCGCTGTGCAGAGTTGCGTCCCTTGGACACGCCAGAAACCTATGATTGTGGGTTCGAATCCCGGTTCGCCCCGATTATGTTTCTAGGTTTGTCAGCACCATCCCCGTGCTCGTGGGTTTCACCGAAGTGGTAAACGTCTGAGACCTGCATCACTTCGGGCTTTCCTCCTACATTAAGCTGACACGCCGTGATATAACTAGAATACTGTTAAAAGCGGCGTTAAACCCAACTCACGCACTCACTCACTCACTAGTACCCATGTGGGGAATCGAACCCGTGACTTCAGGGTGACGAGCGAACGCTTTACCCACTAGGCTACGCTACCATCCCTCGTTAGAATGAGAATGAGCTACACCGGAAACGCCAGCGAGTGAGTATGTTTGGCTTAGTGCACCTTTGAACAGCATTGGTGTTATATCACTGCATGTCAGTTAAATGTGGGAACGTAGCACACAGTAATGAAAGTTGTCACGTTGGTAAAACACACAAGCACGGGTGTGGTACTGACAAACTAAGGTTCATAAACGAAGCGAATTTTGGAATCGATCATAGGATAATCGGAACCGGGCGCGGCAAAGGGAGGCAACCCATAACCTCAATATTGCTGCGCCTTACCATGCCATTGAGGTAGCGGTTACCTAACAGTCCACCCAATACTCATCGTCTCTATGAGTAAACAACCAATACACATTTTATGGAGATATAGACTCACCACGTAGCTGCCTCCAGTCTCCTTTTCCACTGCAACACTCTGGCGGCTGTCGTCATCAGCGGGGTTCTCGGTGCCTGGCAACGTAATGTTTCCATGGTAACAACAATCAGAATGTGGTCAATTCATAAGATAAGAACCTGGATGGGAATATGTATGTTGTTAATGACAATCCTAGGGCCAATGAGACAGACTGACAGTAGTTCCAGTATCAAATATAATTTCACTCAAGTGAAAATGTATGTAATATTTCAGAACACAGACATAGTATTTTATTTGTTCTTAGGTCACAGTATACTATCGGAGAAAATGGAGGCGAAAAATATACTATTCAAGAGTCGAGCGGTGTATACATGTTAAAACACAGGACATCACAATAGTATAGTGTACATCGCCATGCGGACTAGAAGATACCAGGCACTTATAACCCTGTTACGGACAAAAATATTAGTAGCACTATTTAGTGGTAAAATACGGTAGGACATTTCACCTGTACATATGGTATTACTACTCTTAAAAAGCCAATAACGACTCCCTATAAATAACGTGGGCCTGGGGGAAGACAGCACACATCACCTTCTGGTCACATATCAAAACCACCCGATTCTGACTAATGGAGCTTTTCTGCCCAGGAATCCCACGGGTATAGCATTGGGTACTGGGGACATGTTCTGCCTCTGGTTTCCATGGGATTTACCTACCATCAATGAAGCCCGACAGATCTCGCCCGTTCTGGTAGACGAAGCTGTAGATGTCCTCGTAGCTGGCCACGCTGTCCTTGGGGAGGCCTCTGAGGACGACGTTGGCAAGCTCGAACAACTTGCTTACTTGGTTGGACTTGGCATGGATGAAGACATCACCGCCTGTCGACAGAGAGGGTTGTTTGGATGTCAAATCTCCACAGCACACTCAACTGTAGCTCATACTATAGCTATATTTGAATATATAGATAGTCCCTGTTTATAAAATGAATCTAATTTGTTTAAGAAAAAAAACGAGATATAATTTATCCTCTTGCCATGCGGCCGGGATTCGAACCCGAGACCTACTGTCCCGGCGGACTCTTCATTCACTTAAGAACATCGGCGGTACATATAAGGATTAGCTCCCCTCTCACCTGAGCTCGGCATTTCTCCCAGGGCGCCTTTCCTGTAGGGGTATGTGAAGTTCTTCCTGGTCTTCCCCGCGACCTAGGCAGACATAACGTAGAGGTTAGTGGGAATCAAACATCAATGTCAGAGTGTTTGAGTTCGCAGTGAACATGTATCAGCAATATGGCAGCGGCCTGTATATAAGCGAGTCTGGGCAAGACTATCCAGTGTTTGATATTATGAGCGCCAATCCACATCCTCATGACACGATGACACGCAATGAACCAGTGAGTGAGTATGGTTTTACGCCGCTTTTAGCAATATTCCAGCAATATCACGGCGGGGGACACCTGAAATGGGCTTCACACATTGTACCCATTTCGGGAATCGAACCCGGGTCTTCCGCGTGACGAGCAAACGCTTTGACCACTTGGCTTCCCGACCGCCCCCGCAATGAACCAAGTCATCTAATCAGACCACACGATGTTTTTAGCGGCCTCGTTATGACCAGCATGTGGTACTGGGCCGCGTTGCACGCGGCGATCTTAGCGCTACGACTATCGTAAGCCTGTATTAAAGTTTGAGTTACGATCACCTTAGCTCTAAGTTAGCTTCATGAATGGGGCCCCTGGGGTCCTATTCTAACACGGACACTAAATCGGGTTGTAAAACTTTGGTCTGGTCCCGTGGGTTGAGTCGTGAAACACTGGAGACCAACTTAACCAAATATTAAAGTCATGGTGACCAACCCTGTCATCGTTCGATCAATAAAGTTATTATTTCAGCTATTCCAAAAACGACCAGGTGAGCTAACAAATGAAATAGTGCCACCACTTTATTGTGAAACTAGTCTTCACTCCCATGAGTGACAAGCTATAAGGTGTTACTTTCAAAGAAAAGCAGAGTTAGATATGTAATCTTCTGATACATACCATCCTCGAGTATCCAGGCTATAACATCTCTATTCTATGATAAATACCCTGGACCCACTCACCATCAAAGCTTTGTTTCGGAAGTGTGGTCGTCATCTCAATCTCTCTTATCACTTACTTACCAGATAGTTTCTCTCACCAAGAGTGTAATTTGATTGCCTTAAAATGTTTGTATAATGACATTTAAATCAGATTTAAAACGAAGCTGTGTTAAGGAATGGGTCCAGGGTATTCAGCATGTAGATGTGGAGATATAATTTCCTGGATAACCGAGGATACATACAAATGAGTGAGTAAGTCGGAATAGTCCTGCACCATGACCGTGGAATATATTTATTTTATGAAAAAAAATAATCTAGAAATACATACAAAAGCAAGTCTAGCCAGCTCAAACTAGCTCTATTCCACATCAGCATAGGGAACTGTCTTTTATTTTTAAGAGTCAAGAAGAATATTGCGTAATATAAGATTTCAGAGACTAAATGTTAGTCTAGAGTCGGAACAGTAACCTATATAGCAGGCTGGAATAAAAAAAAAACCAGGACCAATTAGGCTTGGATCGAATCACTCAATGGAATGTGAGCATCGAACTCGGAAACTCTTCAGTAGTTCCCTTCAAGGATATACATCTGTCTCCCTAGCCAATTAACCAGCCGCCATTCTATCCATCTAATCACCATTCTACACGCAAAGGGCCAGCAGAGAGAGACAACACACCTGTCCATAAAAGTTGGGTCCGAATCCGACTCCTGCCCAGATCTCGTCGTCCTCGTCTCGCATGCTTGGGTCAACGACCTGGTCGACATACTTCTGCAGCTTGGCCACAGATCGTGCCACCTCGCGGGAGTTAGCTGTGGGTTTCAGGTGGATCCACAGGTAGACAGCGTGGTCCTTGCCCTGGGAGTACACCTGGGGGAGGAGAGTGAATGTTGTTTTACGGCTTAGTCAGTTATTTCAGTATTTAGCGAAGAAGCAATATGTTGAAAAATGTGGAACTGGTGTTACTGCATATCCTTAATGCGGGGATATCTGATTCCTCGGAATCATCAACTACTTAAACACTGACGTCAACATTTATTTCCTAATATGGAGGTCAAAACGTAAAGCCGGTGTGCATACCATGTAAATCCGCCGCAAAGTGCGCACATCGGTTTTTACGTTAACAACTATGTTGAAGTAACTTCTTATAAATATATACGTCAACAATGATAACATCACACAATGGAAATTTAATCACTACCACACAAAATGTAGACAAACATATGAAATCGTTCAGCGCAATAATATTATCAACCAATAAGGAAACAGTAGACTGCTAGCGGGCGTGGCCTAAATAACTTTTGGTTCATGGAAACAAACAAACAAAATCTGTTTGGCTTGCCAGTAAAATGCCACAGTATCACTGACAATGTATTTCCACAGATTTATCCGCAGTTCAAGACAGGCGGGTTGTTGGACGTATTCCAAATAAGAATTTAGAGTAACAAATATTATATTTGGGATAACACTTCCTCACTGAAGTGCAAATTCAAGTACTTTATAGGGTTGAGTTCCATCCGGGATTCGAACACACCACTCTCAGAGTTAGACACCAAAACACCAGCACACAAAGTCAGCGATCTAACCCACTCTACCACCGAGGTTTCCACAAAATTGAACTTCCGACAACTGGTAGTCTATATCACGTACTTTGTGTATCCCTCTGATAAGTGTAAATTAGCACGGCTCCCATGGCATCGTGCATTCAAAGAACTTAGAGGACAACAACGTCATAATTTCTTAAGGGACATAGCAAATTCGAGTAAACGAGCTTTCAGTATCTATGTGTAATAATAGTATCTTACAAGCCAAATCTGGCAGTGTTGGACTGGTTTCTACGGTGGCTCATAAGGGACATGGAGTCTGTTTTTCAATATTTTGAAAAACAGACTCCATGTCTCTTATGGGCCACCGTAGGTTACTATAATCACTTACAGACGGTTGGCTCTGTGGAACATTGGCAGCATGTACTTTCATTGGCTGGATGAACTTGAGGGTGTCACGCGCCCCCTCCGGGAACGTCTTGTACGCCCCGTACCCCAGCGCACCTGCGGTAATGGCGCCCAGTAGGAGGGGTCGCGCGCTCCTGTAGGCGCCTGAACTCGCCTTCCCACTGATGGGGCGGCTGGCTGTTAAAAAAACCAAACATGGTACAAAGACGATGATGATCAGTGACAAACGATAGTTATCTAATTAGGTCACACAAGCAAAAACATTTATTAGTTGCATATAGATGCCTATTACAGCATTCACAGGTACTTGTATCGCGAAGATTAGCAGCAATACATATATACCGTCACTAACATGGTCATAGCATCATATGCGTCTTTTATATAGTACTATGACCCCGTCAGTGACCGTATATATCTTGCTATTTAATGCGTTACAGGCCCCTGTGACTGCATTTGGGAAGAGTAATATATAACGGAGGGAGGGAGGGGGGAGGGGTGGGGGGGGGGGGGGGGGGGGGGGGAGGGGGGGGAGAAGATAGTCAACATGTACGCGCAATAATTGCACATAAATAATAAATGCGATTGTTGTAATTAACCATCAAGACATGTGAGGTCAGGTGCACATTTCTATATTTAAGCCAAAATGATATAATGATTACCATTGTTTAAATACATGCACTAATATGCTTTAGTTTATTGCGTTTATTGAACAGTTTATTACGATGAAAACACTTTAAACTTGAGTCCCTTAATAAATACATGACCGATATTGTTATCTCATGAAGCTTTACAGGGAAACTAGACTCAAGGGTCAAGGCCACAGGGTCAAGGCCCCATTTGCTATCTGGGCCGAGACGTAATTATAGTGACTTGTGACAAACGGAGACATTATCTCTGGGTGATTAGGTAATTGTACCTGACAGATAAACACCCAACATGTTGTGATTTTTGTAGGTTTTTATAACTTTTGAATATCTTCATAAAACGTGCAAGGACTCACACTTACAACCTAGGCCCCTATAACACAGTTTCTTTTGCGTGACTTCCATCATTCTTTGACACTAGTTGCGTCAATAAAGTTAGAAATAGCCCCCAAAAATACAGAAAACGTAGGGCCATTTTAAGCATCACAGTATAACACATTCGTTCATGCTTTTGTAAGCATGTTTATGCACATCGGAACATGTCGTAGAAATGCAACTCGGGGATTGTCTGCTTGCATTGGAATTTGGATTGGGCTCGTTGTGTGAAAGCCGGCTTCATGTCCGGGTCTGCATGACATATGTATAGCACACACTTGTATAACAAAATCTGAATATCTTCTCATTTTGAAGCCTATGGGTTGGTGATAAATGCTTTAAGGTTAAAACCCACAACAAACACTCACGCTAATGTACCCCTTAAGCGGGTTTGTGTGGGTCGTGAACTTTTCACCTAAATTAACACAAAGCTGGCCCGTATATCATATAGAGCAGTTATACAATCGTGACGAAGCAAAATGGGCCGACGTGCGTATTGAGAAGGGAAAAATCACTTCATGTTAAAAATAGTTTTTTAATGTAAATATTTAAAAATGTAAGTAACATTTATAAGATAAATGTATTCGGCAAAAAAGTGAACTTGTGGTAAGTTTATCTCGAGTGAATACGAAGAGGCGTGTTAGGGTATGTGAGTCTACGACGATACATTAATCCCATGCAAGATACAGCGTGTTGATTGAGTGTTGATTGACAGACTGGGTGTTGACTGACAGATCTGACAACTGCTATAAATAATACGAATGCGTTGTCGATACACATTTTTTTAATAACCATTTACATTTAACAGACTGCTGATATAGCATTTACTCGCCTCCACCGTATATTCAATCTCGAATCGTGGCAATAATTCAGGAAAACCCCACGTGAAATACGCGTTGACAAAGTACACGCGGACTCGTCTGTACGTGCGTGAGAAGCTCGATCAAGCACCGCCGTATAGACGTACATGTTGTAACTGTTGTTATAACAGGGAAATAGGTCGAATCGTCCTGCATGTCACGTCCCAGCTCTTTTACCAAGTCCGGCTCATTTCAACCCTGTCAACCACATAGAATTGTACCTCTACGTTCAATTTCCGATGCATGGTAATCGTACTCAATCTTACCTGCTCTGCCGAACCGTACCGCCTGTCTCAACAAGCTGTGCGTTGAACGAAGGGTCGACATGTTTGTCTGCTCGCTAACGGGGAAGCTTCCAGGTTTGTGGGAGAACGCTGCGGTCACGTGGGATGTAAGGACAAGCTAGACTGGTTTGGGATCGCTTCGAATATTCAGTGACTTGCAGTGTTGGTGGTGCATGAAACAAATCAATGAATGATCAACTATTTACGACCGAATATTTCATTTTATGATCTATTCAGCCCGATATAGCCCGGGGGTGACATCTGGGGGAGAATGACATAAGATGACACTCGGTTTTATAAGCCATATAAGGGTTGTAAATATATATCGGTGACCTAGCAACGCTTCAGATTGATGGGAATAATTATAGGTCATGTGACCATTACCTGTGAATATAATAGTCCAGGCACTTAACATGCTTAAATCCCCTGGGACTCCGTGTTGCTCAGAAAAAGATGGAAATTAAGTTACCCTAACACACACACACCCGCCCCAACGGGTATCGGAAACTTCAATTAATGTAGCTTTTCCGTGTGAGCCGGGTTAGAACCCAGACTGCACCTCGATGCTTCTTGGCTGATGACGTGTTATTGTGACCCAATGGCGTGGATCATTGCTCAGGTTTAAAGTTACTGGATAAAACTGATCCAGACGTTATATTGATCCACGTAGTTTTAAATATCCGAGTACCCACATTATTGTATTTGTAAATATATGGGGGGAACAGGCAGTTGTAACCAACCCGACGATACACCGAACCAAAGACACCCCGAGGTTGCCTTGCCCCGACAGAAGCATGTACTAGAGCAGGTGCGTGGATCATCGCCTCCGTTGTTACGTGGGTTGAATCACATTCTCCAATGACAGGGTATTATCGGTGTATCCGGGTAGAAATCGTTCAAACAATTACAAACGAAAAAAACCGGACTGTTTAATACACGGAGAAAATCATTTCAGCGGAGTGGAACCAGCTTTGTGTCGGGTTTAACACGCTTTGAGGGAAAGATTTTTATGCCCGTAACTCCTGCTCAGAATTGTTGACCCTCACCCTAAATTCGAATACTTGTATCGTTTGTTTGTTCCATGTCGTGTTTAAGTCTTTTATGAAATATATTTTAACATTTCTAGCCAGGGGTTATGATTAAAAACAGATCGAGTTTTTTTTGGTTTGGTTTGGTTTGGTTTGTTGTTTTACGTCGCACTCAGCAATATTCCAGCTATCACGGGTTGAAGTTTTACTGCGTTGTGTCTTTCACTTGTAAGCTTGAGGTAGGGAAAGAGAGGAAAGCCCGAAGTGATGCAGGTTGATGCTGGAGTGCATTATTTTCACGGATAGCCATAGGAGAAGGACAGATATGAAGATGTTTTTTGTTTACATGACATAGCTTTAATTATGAAATTTCAATTGTAGCATTTGAAAGTTCTCAGTCAAAAGCGCACAGCTCAAGAATCCCGTGGGCAGAGGGATTTTCGGAGAAAAGAACAACCTGTTGTAACAATGGCAATGCATCACTGGAGTTTATAAGTTCGTCTACTACTGTGGTCAAACCCACGAACACGGTATGGTGCTTAGACATAGAATTATACTCAGGACGAATATAGGATTCGAACACACGATCGTGAGGGTCCAACTCACCCCAACGACATGGTTTGTTTGTTTGTTTGTTGTTTAACGCCGCACTCCGCAACATTCCAGCTCTATGACGGCGGTCTGTAAATAATCGCGTCTGGACCAGACAATCCAGTTATTCACATCACGAGCATCAATCTACGCAATGGGATACGACATGCATGGACCAAGTCAGCGAGCCTGACCACCCGATCCCGTTAGTCGCCTCCTACGACAAGCATGGGTTCTTGAGGACCTATTCTCTACCACAACAACATGCGACGCCTTGGGCTACTGAGCCACCCGTACCTGCTATAGTTTGAAAGAAGGGGTGCATTTATTCAGGCCTCTAGATCACCTACTTACAAAAATGATTCACAGCAAGAAGTGGGTGAATGCGTAGTCAGTTTAATCGACACTTGCAACAAGCTGAGCGTGCTAAGAACGTTCTGTTATAGAAAACTCATGAGAATCTGTGGATTCTACTTCTGGAATCACAAGATATCGAGTGATTTCTCCGACTAAAACCATGTTAAGTTGATATATATTTTCTCTATAATTCTGCTCAAATCCCTATAGTTTTTCGTAAGTTGTTCTTGTTTAAGATGCACGTTTAGAATGGCAAGTGCATTCCTGGTTCTGAATCAATTGCCACAACAATAGCGTGTCGTCATCATAATGATTTAAACAAGGAAACTGTTCTGCCCTGGAGCCTTCATTGGCTTCTTGGAACCCGATTAGTACCACAGAGCAGGGTGCACGTGCGATAGGCACAAATGTCACGTGCATCACGCAGGGGCCTATTCTCACTGTTAGGCATACACGTCTTGAACAGCTCTTTTTATAGGTTACGAAAACAATGTTGTTAAACATGTTAGATTCTAAGGATGTGTTGGCCATGGTCAAATAGGTTAGATCTCACGGATCCAATGTTAAATAATTGAAATGTTCCGCGCCTAGTGGTTTAACCATTTCAACGACTAAACATTCGACCCTCGTTGTCAGACCTATAATTACGTCATGTAAGTTGATTACTTGAAAACGACAATACAATCAGGCTCACTCGAGAGTGCTGTAAATTACTAATGGGCATTTGGACTATTTAGAAACATTTTAATACCATATCGCTGAGCCAATACAGGGTTATATTCGACATGACAATAAACAACAATACACGTGAATGTGAATGTGAATTTAATAACGAGGAGAATATCCTTGCATCGTAAAATGGATGCTCTAATTCGACAGCTGTGTTCACATTGAATCTTAATGTCATTTATTGTGACATACTAAAGTAATAATGTTGAATTCAAAGACAATGACCAATTGACTGATCCATGTATGGATGATGGCATGGCCATTGCTTATCTCATGTATATTGAAAGTACATGTCGCTACACTGGCGACATCTGGCCTGCGGATGTCACAACCCAGCGTGCAGAGAGCAGTAACGCTGGAAACAAGGTGGGTGGGTGACCGCAGCCTGACTCCTGGGGGTACCGAGGGAAATGGTCCTGACCCCTGAGGGTAACGAGGGAAATGGTCCTGACCCCTGATGGTACCGAGGGAAATGGTCCTGACCCCTGATGGTACCGAGGGAAATGGTCCTGACTCCTGAGGGTACCGAGGGAAATGGTCCTCACTCCTGAGGATACCGAGGGAAATGGCCCTGACTCCTGAGGATACCGAGGGAAATGGTCCTGACTCCTGAGGGTACCGAGGGAAATGGTCCTGACTCCTGAGGGTACCGAGGGAAATATTCCTGACTCCTGATGGTACCGAGGGAAATGGTCCTGACTCCTGATGGTACCGAGGGAAATGGTCCTGACCCCTGAGGGTACCGAGGGAAATGGTCCTGACCCCTGATGGTACCGAGGGAAATGGTCCTGACTCCTGATGGTACCGAGGGAAATGGTCCTGACTCCTGAGGGTACCGAGGGAAATGGTCCTGACTCCTGAGGATACCGAGGCAAATATTCCTGACTCCTGAAGGTACGGAGGGAAATATTCCTGACTCCTGAGGATAACGAGGGAAATGGTCCTCACTCCTGGGGGTACCGAGGGAAATGGTCCTCACTCCTGGGGGTAACTAGGGAAATGGTCCTCACTCCTGGGGGGACCGAGGTCCTTTCCCACGTTGAATCACTTAATTAGTTAAGCAACTTTGGATGTATACACCCAAGAGAGCTGAGGATGCAGGTTCAGTACTTACTGCTGACGGGGGTAATGTCACTTGGTTTCACCATCATCTTCTGTAGTGTTGAGGGGGGGGGGGGGGGGGGGGGGGGGACCTTCTATAATATCGACCTCCTATCAGTGTTATCAAGAGCTGTCAGCACATGTGACCTTTGACTTATTATTTGTCCTACTTCGAAAATAGGATGAGTGAGGGAGCCGAACGGTGAAGTGATTTGGCAAAATACACCTCACCAGAACAGATCGTTCGTGGCCGCTCGTGTCATTCCGCTTACGGACAAAGGCAAGCGGGAACGAATGCTGTACACATATCTCACTCTGAACATGATCGGCCATTTCTGCTGAAAATAGGCTTTCCGGTAACGAAAAAGGGCGAGGTTAGCCGAAAGTAGATATCTGTGTGAATATTTATAGTTTAAAGTCGTCAAATGAAATATGTCTGAAATACTTAGCTTTTCTTAACTTTTATAAAAAAAAAAATCATTTTATATATACATTTCCAATTTTACAATAAAAGCTGATTTTATCAGGTATATCAAATGGACAAGGTGAATCGGTTCAACAACCAGCATTTCTTAAAAATATCCACTTTTGAGCTTAAAATTGCCGTACATTTTGTGATGGTGTGAGATTGATACAATTCCCGCTGTAGGAACTGGAAAGTGGGAATTCTTGTTGTGATTGTCTATTTGTGAATATTAGTTGTTTTGAGAGTATTAGTATCACGTTTAATGGGCCGTTGTTTCTTTGTTGGAATCCGAGCAACATGTGTTGTTTGATAAATTGTATTCTAACATCTGTTTTTTTTGTAAAAATGGAATAAATAAATAGAGTGGCAAAACCTTCACCTTCACCTAAACCTAGTCTTTTTTGCGCATGTATAATCATGATAACAATGTATAATCTAAAATAGTGATACAAGTAGCACAAGCGGTTCCAGCATGTGTAGGAATAACAGACAGACAGACAGACAGACAGACAGAGAGACAGACACAATGTATTCAGTAACATAATATAATAACAGCATGACATACCACACTGTCTGCCTGTCTGTGTTTCTGTTTGAATAACAAAAAGAATATTTGAAGTAGTGATGTATTTTTGAAAAGAAGCATTTAAACTTTGCTCATTTTCCAAATTTTAACTTTGATAAAATACCTTTCTGCATTCAGGGGACCTTGACCTTTGACCTTGACCAAAGTTAATGTAACTAGAGATACGTTGCTTGTGAGGTCATGTATATCAATACATAAAATCTCCAGTTATCCGGGGCAAAAGCTGTTTGTATGATTATTTCATAAGCAGTGATCTTGACACCGTGTCAGCCTATCATAT